CAATCAATAGTATCAGGAGGTCCCAGGTTCAAATCCAAGGAGGAATAAAAATCCTCTTGTGGCCACGGAGGTTCAAATGCGGTGACTCCGAGCAATCTGCAAAGCAGGTGGTCGCCCTTGGATTAGTCGGCTCGCATAGCGGGTTGGATATCCAGGTTAATAAAAAAAATGTCAAAAGTTCAATCAACAGTAGAAATCAGTCATTCGAGATTTTCATCTTTGATTTCTTGAATTTAATTTCATGACCGTTAATCGGCTGGAAAGAGAACTCCATGCCTTGAAAATCTAAATAGTCGAACTTTGAGGAACAATACAACTTAGATTAAGTTGTTGGAATGATAGTGTTACTCGGTTCACGATGTGCATTCAGTATATATCACTACAAGGCATTGGGCCTGTTTTTATAGTTAAAACTCAGTTGCCCAATTCCCAAACTATTAAACCCAAAACTAGTAATATATGACAACTTGATGCCCCTTTAGGCTTTGATGCCCGGTGTTGTCGCACGAGCTGCACGTGGCCAAGGCCGACCCTGCTTGGGAATACAATACGTCAATACAATAAAAGATTCTGGGAAACTACTATACCGGAGTTAAGTTTTAGAAACATGCATACCTTTAGAGGTTAAAGTTTGGTGGTTGCTTGAGGACGATCTATTGATGTCACAGGAACACTTGAAGCACTAGAAGTATTTTCATTCGACCCTTGCATCTCTAATATCATAGCTTTCAAATCATCTACTTCGTTGCTAACAGCTTTATATGCCCTTTTCCATAGCATGTTCTCCCTATAACAGGGAGAGCGACTTCGTAAGACACCCCAAATATCTGAAGCTCAAACACGTAGCCTGTACATGTGAGCGCTACCATGTTTGTATTTTCCAATCACTTTTCTAAATACATCATCAGCCACGGCCCGTCAAGTAAACCCTTAGGAAGTTGAAAGTTAAGGTCTAGCATTTGTTCCTGTAGTCAAATAAATTATCACTAACGAATATGATAAAGATTGTGAAAAGTAATCTAAAACTCAAGTAAAACTAGCAAATGTAGTCAACAAATTACAAATATAACATATAATAGTGTTTGCAGCTTCCACATGGCATTGCCATTTTTAGAAAGAAAAAAAACATGCAAGAAACAACTCCATTTGACTAGGTTCACGTCCCGACAAAGATTCCTGTAACAACCCAAATGTATAGTTATGTAAATACATATACCTATATTATATCGACTATATGAGTAAGTACATTATAAGGAACAAGCACCTTTAATTCTTCACAAACTCGAGCATACCCCCCCTAAGTAATTTGCATCATCATCTTGTATCACCTATTAGTCTTAGTTCTTTCACTGATTTTATGAAAATGACATATAAGGCTATAAGCTAGTAGTGGATAAATGGTGTGAGATGAGTACACARTAAAATATTAAACCAACTGCAATACAACCTTGGATAATATTAACCACGATAAAACTAAGAAACTTCAAGTAAAAGTTGTATTTCTATGAGAATCCAAGTGTAAAAGAAAGTAGCAAACAAAATCCAAGAACATAGYAGAAAAGTGTATTCGAGAGAGGGGTTAATAACCGATGTGTTGTTTTCGTACCAGTTGTGTAGTAATGTTTTTTTTTTTCGAATCATTTATCCAAATTTAAGTAGTAACTGGTCTAATCTTTATAAAGTTGAATAATAACGGAGAGTAAACAACAATTCCACCATCTTTATGACCCTCAAACACTAAGGAGATTTTCCAAATAATTAGTGAAGGGMAAAAGCAAAACTCAAACACTTAAGAGTCACTAAATATGCACAAATATAATTTAGGGGATTACTACAGGACTCGAGATCTTGGAGAGGCAGAAGCGTATGATCAAACTTTTCTGATATTTCTTTTTGGAATGTGTACTTCAATTAACAAGAATAGAATGTTGCTATGTGTTTAAGACTAGTTGTACTATGCATTGTTATTTATGTTTATTTGGATTTTACATCCCACTSTATTGCATTGGGTACATAACTAATATAATACACACACACACACACACAGGCAGGATCAAACGGAAACAATACGTATTTAAAATAACACGAAAACGGAYAATTCACGTGCAAAATCACATATGATTTTACATTAATGGTCAAAAAAGGGCCGGGGTGATTTGTGGCTACGTCTTCAGGTCGCTGTCACATGTGATTTTGTATGTGATGTTAGTGTAAAATCACGTGTGATTCACCCGTTTTCGTCTTTTTTAAATAGGTATCATTCCCGTTTGATCCTCCCTCCCTCCCTTCCCCCCTCTCTCTCTTTCTCTCATATATATATATATATATATATATATATATATATGCGAAGGACCATATAAAAAAAAGAATTAAAGTGAGAAACGTAAGAAGAGATCGAGACCCTTGATCACCTTTAATCTCAAACTCACGTATGAATCGTGTTTGATAGGCGAATTAACCCAGTGCGTCTTGGTCAATCTCATTCTAATGTGCATCCAAGTGTGAAGATCATTTCTTACGATTCTCACATCAACTCTCCTTTTCACCGGAACTCAACCCATATATATTAGAACAGTACTCGCGCAAAACAACGAAATACATCTTCACTTTAATGTTTCGTTGTTTCGTTTTATTTTTGTCTCTATTGATATAGTACGATTTATATAGTTTTAATAAATATAATGTTTTTATTTTTGAATAAAAATATATTTGAAGATATCAAAATTTGAAAAAATATATCGATATCAATATCAATATCAAATTAACTATTTGAAAGTTCTCATTTTTTGTATAATTTCTTTAATTCAATTTTTTATTATAATTTAATTTATGTTTAATAGCGAAGTAATTTTTTTTTTTGGGTTTAACAATATAATTTTTTATAAAGATAATGATTCTGTCAGAACTCAATGATTATCCTAATTATATTTTAGATTTTTTATATTTAAAATGAGATGTTTATCGTGTATTTGATTACGTTTATCCGCAGTTAGTTACACGAAGTCATATATGGAGCTTTAATAAGTTGTACTCACGCACAATCTACTTGCAATATTAAGTTTTAAGTAATATGCATTAATAAATAGTACTTTMCGCATAAAAAATGRTTTTTAAGAGTTTTTGTCAAATGCTTTATAATATAGTATAGATATAATATAAACATATGTTTTCTACTATTATTACTCAATGAGTCAATGATAATAAACAATTTAAATTAAATTATATATTAAAAACWAACAAAAAAGACATTGAAAAGGTAATTAAAAAAAATTAAATATCACGTTAAAAATTCTACGCATTAGGCTATGACATGCCACATGCTTAATGTGAATTAAGACATTAGCCTTGAAACACGACACACCARGACGACTGTTGCAGCGAGTCTTTTAGAATAATAGTTTTATAAAACAATTCAAATAATACGATTTGTGTAATGCAGCGAGACACATCTCGATTTTAATGTTTTATTTTATTATTTGTCTATGTCGATGTTATAATATGATTTTATGTGTTTTTAAGAAAGCAATAATGATTTTATTTTTGAATAAAATATAAATTTGAAAATATCATAAAAATTTGAAATAAATATATCAATGTTAATATCAAATCAACTATTTTTGATTTAATCATATAACATTTTATAAAGATAATAATTNAAATATATCAATGTTAATATCAAATCAACTATTTTTGATTTAATCATATAACATTTTATAAAGATAATAATTAAGTATTTCGTTAGAATTCAATGATTATCTTAATTATATTTTAGATTTTTTATATTTAAAATGAGATGTTTATCCTGTATTTGATTATGTTTATCTGTAGTTAGTTACACGAATTCAGATATRGAGCTTTAATAAGTTGTATTTACGCACAATCTACTTGCAATCTTAAGCTTTAAGTAATATGCATTAATAAATAGTATTTTACGCATAAAAAAAATGGTTTTTAAGAGATTTTGTCGAATGTTTTATAATATAGTATAGATAAGGATACATGTTAAATGCTAAAATGCATTTGAAAAGGTTTTTGAATTAGAGGATGTGCATGGTTTTCGAAGTGGAAAACTATCATGACAAAAACAATAAGCTTTTGATAGGTTACCCCCATTATGAATGTCATAAATGAAGACATAAAAAAGTAAATGAAAGAAAAACATTTCTAAACATACATAGAAAATATGCAAAACAAAGCATWTTTTATAATATTTGATGTCCTTTGAGAAAGTAGAATGAAATATATATTTCGTAGTTGCTGAATGATTTGGTGCAGAATAATTAAGTGGTCAGAATGATTAAGAGACTCTCATGATATAGTGYAAGATGAAATATAATTGTTTAGTAATTGTTTACAATGAAATTAGGCGCTGAATGGTTGAGGGAGACCCAAGATACAAAATCATTCAGATGGTTTTAGAATCATTAAGATGCAGATTTTTTTTTGCCAAACAAGATTCATCTATTAGCGATTCAGATGTTGTCTCTTAATAAAACTATTAAGAGTTATACAAACAACCCTTAGGTGCTGTTTGRCAGTTGTTGAATGGTTTAGTGCAGAATRATTAAATGGTCAGAATGATTAAGAGGTTTTCACGATATAGTGCAAAATGAAATATAAATGTTTGATAATTATTTACAATGAAATTAGTGCGCTTAATGGTTAAAGGAGACCCATGATACAAAATAATTCAGAGGGTTTTATAATCATTAAGAAACAGAATTTCTTTTATCAAACAAGATTCACCTTTTAATAATGGAACTCTTAAGAGGTAAACACACAACCGGACGTGTACAATATCATATTAATTTGACCACTTCATTATTAGACAAAAAGCAGGAAATACAAGAGCGTATATATCTCGTTCCACGAACCCGACCACSTAATTAACAGACGAAGGAAGAAACAAAAGGTGAAGACATCATATATATATATATATATGGCTGCTTCTTCATAGATGATGGAATGAAAGCCAAAGAAACATGCATGACCTTCAACTATTACCACTTACAACACTCCAGATCTTGATCATAACGACGATTTAACTCCGAATCCTGAGGGCGTTTTTTGAGATCCAAATACTTTTTGCATTTGTCTACAGCCATATTCGCCAGCCTATCGGCGCATCGGTTGCGACTTCTTGGAACATACTTGATAGCGATATCATATTCGCGAGCCAGCTGTCGACTTTTCTCGACGATCGGTCGTTTATCTACATATTTCTTCGGTTTATTGAGCAATACGGACGCTCCGTAATGATCGGTTTCAAGAATGGATCCCCTGTGTTCAGGTTTATTCAAAAGCTTTAAACCATTATAAATTCCATACATCTCAGCTGTGAAAATATCAGTCGAAGCAATGAACCCTTGAAAACCTCGAACCCATTCGCCACAATCGTTTCGAAGGATTCCCGCGTACCCACTCGGTCCTCGCTCCACACCATCAGATTGCTTGGTTCCATTACATACAGCATCTGTGTTCATTTTGAACCGACCTGCAGGAGGAAGAGACCAAACACTGGTTGGTTCAGTAGATTCATATTGTTTGGATTGATGAACGACTAAATTGTGGTAGGAAGACTCCGTTCCATGAGCTTTCATCTTCATGGCATCATCGTTCTCTTCGCTCTCTGAGTTTGAGATATTTGAAATCATCCTAGATATTCCCCAAGCAGCCATGACTGTGCCGGCAGCAGCTATAGCAATGGCGGCTCCAGCTCCCATGGAACCACCACTGGAGCTACTATTTTCCGGCTGGCCCTCCTCCTCTTCTTCAGTCCGATTTGATCTTCCGGTGCTTTCAGTGCTACCCATGGTTTGTTTACTTTTTAGGGTTGCAATTCATGAATGATGGAGAATGCCACTAATATAGAATACTAGACTGATGAAAAGTGGGTATTAGAATAGAAAATTGCTCGAATTCAACCTATGAAAACGAGCTAAATATAATTAAAAAAAGGCATAAAGATAGCTAGACTTGTATCATCTTCCAATAAAGTAAAAAGATGTGTCGACATTTTTGTTAGACATTTTCTTAAAGTAATACGCATCTAGATTCCGTTATTTTATTGAAGTTTTATATCGGTTAAACTTGAGTCATTTTTTTTAAATATATATTGTAACATTGATCTTTTGAAGAGTAATATGATGGTGGTTTTATATATTTTCTGCCATGCGATTTAAAAATACGAATATGCATGTGAAGTTATTATATGTGATTTTATTGTACATCTGGAAAACCAATTTATAACCATGATGTTTTATATATATTTCACCAACTCCGTCCACGGTCATATAAAGGATTAAAAGAATTGGCTAATGTAATGCTAGAAGGGAAAAATCCCACCTTATTCTTCCAAAAGCTTATCATATGATTGTCGTATGTTCAGACTTATTGTCGTGAATTATTTTAATAAGGGGCCGTTTATCAAACACTTATTCGGGTAAGCGTTTACCAAGTCACGTTACCTCACCGGATGAAT